AAAAATATTCATAAGAAGAAAGTTCATAGTAGTTAGTGTACATAAGAAAAAGATGCAGAGGTGGCAAATATGCAACCTAACATCATGCTTCAGGGAATTGGAAAAAAAATCCAAAGGATACCAGGAAAAAAAATTATTGCCAAAGCAATTCTGCACAAGAAGAGTGGAGTGGGTGGCATCTCACTCCCTGACCCAAAAATATACTACAAAGCTGTGGTAATCAAAACAACATGGTAGTGGCATAGAAACAGACATGTGGATCAATGAAACACAATAGAGTCCCCAGTAATAAATTCCCAAACATACAGTCAATTGATTTTTGACAAGAGGTACCAGTCAATCCAGTGGGAAAAGGAAAACCTCTTCAGCAAATGGTACTGGAAAAACTGGATTTCCACCTGCAGAAAGATTAATCTGAACCCCTACCTTTCACCTCTGACAAAAATCAAGTCAAGGTGGATCAAAGATCTAAATCTAAGACCTCAAACTATAAAACTGCTCCTAGAAAACACTGGGGAAACCCTGGGAGACATTGGAGTAAGGAAAGACTTCTTAAATAAGACCCCCAAACACAGTTGATAATCCCCCAAACAGACAAGTGGGATTACATCAGACTAGGAAGTTTCTGCATGGCAAAAGACACAGTGATTAGTGTGAATCCACAGTCCTCAGAATGGGAAAATATTTTTGTAAACTATGTGTCAGATAAGGGACTGATAACCAGAATTCACAACGACCTCAAGTATCTGTTCTGAAAAAAAAAAACGGCTATCAATCCTTTTTTTTTAAAAGATGGGAGAATGAGTTGAAAAAAACACTCTCTAAAGATGACATAGGAATAGCTAAAAGGCATATGAAAAATTGCTCAACATCCCTCATTGTATGGGAAATGCAGATCAAAACAACAATGAGATACCACCTAACCCCAGTTAGAATGACTAAGATTAAAAAAACAAAACAAACAAACAAACAAAAAAACGGTAAGTGCTGGTGGGGGTGTGGTGAAAGGGGAACTCTCTTACACTGTTGGTGGGAATGCAAATTGGTCCAGCCACTGTGGAGAATAATTTGGAGATTCCTTAAAAATCTACGAATAGAACTACCATATGATCCAGCAATCCCACTCCTTGGTATCTATCCAAAGGACTGAAGAATACCTAATCGGAAAAGTGCTTGCACATAGATGTTTATTGTGGCACTATTCACAATTGCTAAGTCATAAAAACAACCCAAATGCCCATGAACAGATGAATGGATAGAAAAACTGTGGCATATATAATCTATGGAATACTATTCAGCCATTAATAAAAAAACCAACAACAATAAAACCCTGGCCTTTAACAGGAAGCGAATGAATATGGAATACTGCTGAGTGAAGCAAGCCAGGCTATGAAGGAAAGGCATTGTATGTCCCCACTTAATATATACCGAGTGTCTACACTCTATGACTGAAACTGATTGACTAAAGGATATAGAAACACGGTATATAGATGTAAATACCAGATATAGTATGTGTGAAAGAGGAGGGTCTGAGGAAAAACATTTAGAAGGAAAATAGGGAGGCAAAGTATTAATGGGACAAAGAAATGTGGTATTATCTATTGAAGATATTTTATAATTTTATCAACTGTACTAGGGAGAAATGTTCACCTCTTGAAATATTCATTTTGTAAGCTAAATAATGTGATTGAATGAAAAAGAGAAAATGGAATAAAAAATGAAAAAAGAAAAAAAGATTTGGGCAGAAATAAATGAAATAGACAATAAACAAACTATATAGAAAATGAATGAAAGCAAAAGCTGGTTCTTTAAAAAGATAAAAAAGACAGACACACCATTAACTAGACTAATTAAGAAGAAGAGAGAAAGGAACCAGGTAAATTAAATTTTACCTGGTTTTTACAACATTACAACAGACACAATAGAAATACAAATTATCATTAGAGGATACTATGAGTGTCTACACCAACAAACAAGAAAACCTGGAAGAGATGGACAAATTTCTGAATACATATAATCTACCAAGATTGACTCAGGAGGACACAGAAAGCTAGAATAGACTCATAACAAGTCATGAGAGTAAATTAGTAATAAACAATCTCCCAACAAAAAAACAAGCCCAGGTCCTGATGGGTCCACTTTTGAACTCTACAAAACTTTTGAAGAGTTAACCTTCATTCTAATCAAATTATTTCTAAAGATCCAAAAGGAAGGAAACCTCCCAAATTCATTTTATGAAGCCACCATAACCTTAATCCCCAAAACAGATAAGGACATGACAAGAAAGAAAAACTACAGACCAATATCTCTGATAAATGTACATGCAAAAATTCTCAACAAAACACTAACAAATTGTATCCAACAACATATAAAAAAGATTATTCATCATAACCAGGTATAGTTTATTCCAGGGATGAAAGGGTGGTTCAACATATGCAAGACCATAAATGAAATATGCCATATTAACAGAAAGAAAGATAAAAACCAATAATCATTTCAATCAACACAGAAAATACATTTAATAAAATACAACATCCCTTCATTGTTAAGCAATTTGACAAAATTAAGCATAGAAGGATCATTTCTCAAAACAATAAAGACTATCTATCAAAAACTTAGCTAACTGAATGAGGAAAATCTCAAAGCTTATCCACTAAATACTGGTACAAGACAAGGCTGCCCACTTTCTCCTTTTCAAAACAGTGCTGGAAGTCCTAGTCAATGCAATCAGAAGAGACTAAGATAAAGGACATTCAAATAAGGAAAGAAGAAGTGAAATTATCTCTATTTGTAGATGACATGAATGTATACATGAGACCCAAAGGTATTCATAAAAAACTTCTGGAAGTAATAAATGAATACTGTAAAGTGGCAGGATACAAAATCAACATACAAAAATTTGTAACATTTTTATATACGAAGAGCAAGCAGACTGAGGTAAAACTGAAGAAAGTAATCCCATTTACCATAGCCACAAAAAATATTAAGATACCTAGGAATAAATCTAATCAAAGAAATCGAAGGCCTCTACAAGGAAAACGATGAAAACTTTAAAAAAAGAAATAAAAAATGACACAAAAAAGTGGACCCATGATCCTGGATTAATATAATAAAAATGGCAATTCCACCCAAATTAATCTACATATTTAAAATAATCCCAATCAAAATACCAGAGACATTCTTCACAGATTTATAAAACACAATCATAGAACTTGTCTGGGTCTAAGACCCCCTATTGCCAAAGCAACCCTGCTCAAGAAAAGTGGAGTAGGACGCATCTCACTCTCTCATCCAAAAATGTAGTATAAAGCAGGGAAAATCAAGACAGCATGGTATTGGCACAAAAATAGACATCTGGACCAATGGAATAGAGACCCCAGAAATGAATCTCAAAACATACAGCCAACTAATTTTGACAAAGGGTACCAATTATTCCAGTGAGGAAAAGAAAATCCTTCTAGCAAATGGTGCTCGAAAAACAGGGGTATCCACCAGTAGAAAGATTAACCTGGCTGCCTATCTCCTACCATTAAAAAAATCAAATCAAAGTGGACCAAAGATCTAAACCTAAGACCTCACACTATAAACTACTGGTGAAAAACACTGCGGAAACTCTGAGAGACATTAAGGTAGGCAAAGACTTTTTATATAAGACTCCCAAAGCACAGACAATAATCCCCAAAATAGACAAGTAGGATTACAACAGATTAAGAAGTTTCTGCACAGCAAAAGACATACTAATTAGTGTGAATCAACAATCATCAGAATAGGAGAATATTTTTGTAAACTGTGTTTCAGATAAAGGATTAATAACCAGAATACAAAGGGAGCTCAAGAGGCTTACACCCCCCCACAAAAAAAGATCAACCCAACTAAAGGATAGAAAAAGGAGCTGAATGAATAACTCTCTAAGGAAGACATATAAACAGCCAAAAAACATATGAAAAAAACACCCCTCATAATAAGGGAGATGCAGACCAAAATCATAATGAGATACCACCTAACCCCAGTCAGAAGGGTGAAAATTAAAATAAATAAATAAATAAATAAATAAATAACTGACTGACTGACTGCTGATAAGGCTGTGGTGAAAGGGGAACTCTCCTACACTGTTGGTGGGAATGTAAATTCATGCAGCCAATGTGGAGAACAATATGGAGGTTTCTCAAGATCACAAATAGAACTACCATATGATCCAGTAATTCCACTCCTGGGTATCTCCCCAAAGGATAGGAGAATGCTCAGTTGGAAAGGTGTATCTATGTTTATTGTAGCAATAGTCACAAATGCTAAAACATAGAACCTTCCCATATGTCCATGAACAGATGAATGTATTGAAAAAGTGTGGCACATATACTCTATGGAATACTATTCAGCCATAAAAAGCAAGATCCTAGCATTTGACAGAAAATGGACGAATATGGAAGATTTACTGCTGAGTGAAGCAAAACGGCTGTGAAAGAGAGACGTTGTATGTCTCCACTTTAACATGTACCAATTGGTCTCACTCTATGGTGGAAACTGAAAGACTATAGAGGATATAAAAGCATAGAAAATGGTTAGGCATACTGAAAAGTGTGGGTAAAGGAAGGGAGAAGTGGGAGAGTATGAAGAGGGAAATTAAGGAGAGAAATGGAGAGGTGGAACATTTATGGGACTCAGAGATAGATTATTGTCTGTTGATGGTAATGTGTATGTATGCTGGACTGGACTGGTTTGAAGTGTGTTCGAGTTGGGTAAGTTTCACTTTACAAGCTAAGTGATGTATACTGATTGAATGGATAAAATAAATTAAAATAAAAAGAAAGTTATCAGTAAACAGAATACTGATAACTTAAAACACAGAGTAGTATAATTACAATAACATTAAAAAATTAGATTATTTTATACAGACTAAAATACACACTTGTTTCTTTCATAATGTAATTCAATGAAAATGATACCACTATGTTAACAAAGTGCAGAAATATTGTTTTGTTAAGATGTGGAAATTACAGTACCATGCACATGCAGTTGAATGTGCTGTTGTGCTTCTCCAGCCGCATTGGTAGCCACACACGTGTATCTGCCAGCATCTTCCAACAGGGCTTTGGCAATTTGTAGAACTCGACCAGAAGACTGTATCTAATTCAGAGCAGAAAGCATGGCAGCATTTTGTACTTTACTCTTGGACTTAAAAACATTCACTGAGATTTAAAAGTTTTTATTTAAATTTATAATACTTCTCACTGTATTTTAATGCCAATATTTTAATTATGCCTTGATAAATTAGAGCCAGATCACCTCATCACACACAGGAAAATAAGATAATTTGATAGAAAAACTTTTCTTATTCATTGGGAAAAATAAAATAAAATAACTAGGGCCAGCCTGCTGGTATTGTCATAAAACTCTACTGAATAAAAGACTTTAGCACTGAACTATGAAATATGGAATGATAATTTAAGCTATTTGAAAAAGCATGGCCCCATTTATATAACACTTCATAAATAGTTTCAAAACAATCATTTTTTTTATTAAATGGTTACAGGGGCCAAAAAACAATAAAAAATATAAAGTATGAACAACGGGAATGCAGAGAAATTTCTTTCTGACTGCTTTCTTTCTTTTCCTCTGAAATCCATTGCAACTAGCTTCCACCATTTTGAAAATGGTGATTCAGACATTATCTTTGAACTGATTGTTCAGAGTTGACCAGTAACTTCCAACCACAATATGTAGCAGCCTAAGTCTTGGGTTATCAGGAAAGTCCTGACACATTTTTGCATAGAAAAAATACGTCATGACTTTTCTGACCACCAAATAATAAGTTCATACTCTCTCTCACAATTTATAGCATTTGACATAGTTAACTACCTACTTCTTGAATCTCTCTACTCTATAGGTATCAAAGACAAGCCTCACCTCTTCGATATTTTAGTTTTCTTTTCTTTTCTGAAAAGAGACACATGCACCTTTAACAGGTATCTTTCCATGATCCCCTCCTCCACTAGCCTTTTTCAGCCAGTCATGATCATGGATCTACATGTCCGGCATATACCACCTGGGAACTGAACTCTGATTTTCCATATGGCTTCCAGCATTGCAGAATTTTGTGTTGGTGCTACACCACTATGTTTCTTATTCTTTAAGAGATTATAAAATCTACTTCCTCTTCCTGTTTTACAACCAGAAAACTTAGCTCTGATCATTTTTATCCAAACTCATGGCATCAGTGACAAACCCCTGTGCAGACTCCTAAGTGTACAGCTTTAGCCTCAACTTATCTCCTGAGTTCTACATTGGTATTTACAGCTACCTGCTGGAACAGTTGGGGCATGAACTTGAACATTTCCAAATCTAAGATCATAAATTCTTTCCTTGTATTTCTAAAACCTACTTCTAATTGCATGTTCCCAATCTTGTTTAATGGCACCACTATTTTTCCAGTCATCAGTGTTTTGGAGCACGCTTGACTATTAATTATACCATGGTATGCTTCTCAGATCCCCTGTTTTCCATTTCCACAGTCACTGTGGGATTATAATAGCTTTTTAACTCATGTTCCATCCAGTGTCTCAAGCTTCTCCAACTGTTAATCTTGCATGCTATTGCCAGAATATTTTGTTTAAAATGCAGATTTGATCCTTTTACCAGTCCCCCTTCAAAGTTCATTCATGGCTCCCCACTTTGTCCAGAATGAAATCTGAACTCAGTATAGCCCTCCAGACTCACCACATTCTGACCCAAAATGATCTCTCCAAACTCGCTTCATAAACCACTTAACCTATTCTCCAGTCATATAGTACTAAACATGTTATACAACACATCCGTACATTTATGTTTGTATCTAGACTCTTGCACAGGGCCTTTAAATGACATAATTTCTTAGGACTCTGAACTAGGTTGGTCCTCTCTTCTTTTTCTTCTTATTCTTTATTCTCCCCTTAGATTAACTCATCTATGCCCATGTTTTCAAGTATCACCAATGTGCCAATATTTCTAGCCAGAATCCTCCATTAAGCTCCAGGATTTATTGACATCTCTTCAAGTTTATCTCAAAGTAATCCCAAATCCCAAAAATCTAAGTTTCCCTCTCAAACTTGTCTTCTTCCAGAGTCTTCTGTCTCACTAGATGGCAACATTACCCATGCAGTTAAGGAGGTTAAGTTCCTAGGAGTCTTCCTTGACATGTCCCTTCCTTGACGTGTCCCTCTTCCTCACCTTTCATAAAATATCTTTCATCAGTCTTCAATGACTTAAATAATAAATAATTCTCAAATCTGTCCAAGTATTCTCATCTCCATGGCCAGCATGTGAACTGAAATTTCTACTCTCTCTCACAGACAAATACACCTCTGCTCTTGGTTCATCACTTTATTCTTCAGAAAGAATCTGGGTAACTCCTTAAATAACAAACTTGGTCATATCATTCATCTCTTAAAATTCTTCACTTTACTGAAAGTCATTTGGCATGCTCCTCTCATCCAAAATACTCCATTCAGTTCTCATTCATTAATTTGCCCCCTTAACTTTTACATCTTCAGAACTCTGTTCAAAGGCTTCCTCCATAAATTTTCCTCATGGTCACAGTCTTTCCTCACTACATATCTTTACACCTCCCTGTATTCTCTCTTAAAATCACTCATTACATCTGGCAATTCTACTTTTGTGTCACATGTTTCTGTCTCCCAGGTAGTGTTTACCTACACTATCTTTGAAGGCTATATATTGAATTTGTCATTAGCACAAAGGTTGGGGATTACTTCCATTGTATTCAGAATAAGAATAATAAATGTATAGGTATTTATCACATCCTCTGTGAAAAGAACTCAAAGCATTAGTCATTATTAAAAACTTACTGCAAGTCAAATTCAAGTCAACAATTAATTCTAATTTATAAAGGCATCACTTAAGATTATCCAAGTTGAAATAAATAAATCTATCTACCTATCCAATTTGACAAAGATGTACCAAGATGGAGTTATACACTAGGGACTATACTCAATAAGGATAGAAAAGTGAACTTATTCAGAGGCCAATTGAATCTCTGTCCTCTTGATGCTTATAAAATAAGTTTTTAAAATGTTTTTTTGATTAGCCAGTATTCTAGTAGTTAAGATGGCTGGATTCCAGATGGCCATCCTAGATCTGGTAGTTTGAGAAACATGTATGTATGTCCAAACTCCAGAAAGGTAAGAGAATTAGAGAAGGGACTGTGGCATGACCATGACCCATGGGGAATGTTTTCTTTCTTTTTCTTTTTTTTTTTCTCTTTCTCTTGCAAGTGCATATAACCTCTGCCAAATTAAAAAAAAAAATTTAAATGTTTTTCAAGGTTTATTTCACTTAGGCTTATATGGAAATGCTGTAATCTTAGTCTATGGTGAATATATTGGGCATATATTGGGTTATTATTGATGAACATTACTTATCCATGAGACATTAATTTTTCAATATCTAAAACAGTCATAAATCAAAATAATTAAAATACCAATCACTATGTTAAAATCAATATTAGTCTTTAATTTATTCTTCAAATCAAAATATTAAGTAAATTCTAAACGATTCTAAAAAAAACACATACTGTTCTAATACATTTTCTTAAAAATATGTTTGATAGGAAAATCTATAATTATGAAAGAATATTGTGATAGCTTCAGGAAGATTGATGTAGCTTTCTCAATTTGGGCTCAGTAATACTTATACTTACTTTGAGGTTTCCTTGGGCAGTGTTCACAGGTTGGTCATCTTTTAACCATGTAATGGATGGATTTGGAATGCCATTGGCTATACACTGCAAGGTAATAGGCTTGTACTTCACCACAGCTCTCTCAGAAAGGCCTGAGGATTTGATTGTGGGAGGAACTGAATGAAGAAAGGAGACGGAAAGGAAGGAGAGAAGGAGGGAGATAAACACCATAGTCAGTAGGATCAAGTACTTAAAAATATACAGGCAAGAACCCGAAAATTTAAATTTAGAAAAGAGCAAATCTCTATTTTTGACAAACAATGAAATAACTCCATTTTGTATATTTAATTTGTAATTTTTTTAAAAAAAAATTGAATCATTATTACTACTATTTAAAAAAATTTTCTATGGGGCAGGTTTACTTGAGAGAGTGAGAAAGAGGATGAGAACTGCCACATGGGAGTCCAATGTCCCAGCCAACATGCCACCTGTTGGCACCTTAATTTATAATTTTTAGCAATTTTAGGGATTACTCATTTCTTAACTATGAATCTTTAATTCTCCAAAGAGAAGGTGATATTTTTATGGTTACTTTAATCTGCACATGTATGTTTGGCTTGTACCTTTTGGAGTATTTTCCCAATGTATCATGACCTCTCTTTCTCAAGACCCACTTCATTAAATCAAGGTGGGTTTCCAGTCCTATTTCATGCATGGGTCTGCCCCTAGCAGGGCTGACTGAACCTAGGATAGGAACTCAAGATAAACTGGGTCTGCCAAACTTCCTCCCTCAGGAATTGGAATCAAGATCAAGAAACAGGTTTCACGATATTCTGCCATGGGACATGAGAATGAAAAACAAGAAAACAACTGTCTACAGAGACAAGGAGAGAATGAAGCTGACACCAAGAGACCACTCTTGTTGGGATAGTGGTGCAGCCATAAAACATGACACTCTGTGAGGCAGACCCACAAGGAAAGGTTATTGGTTCTCGTAGCTCTCCTTGGCCACACCAGACACATGTGTGCCCAAAATCAGGAAGTGGCTGAAGCTGGGGATGGATGTGGCATCAGAAAGACCTCTTCAGGAGTGCTGTATCTTGGTCTTTCTTTTTCTCTCCTTCTCTCTCTCTTACTCATAAAAAAAGGACATAATCTTAAAAAAAAAAAAAAAAAAGTAGACACTTATTCTGTGGCTTCCCAGTGGATCTCCACTTTCTGTTCCAGTCCTTCCCTTCTGGGTTCTACAGCAAGTGAGAGACACATAATACCTTGGCAGAGAGCTGCTTCTGTCCATTAGACTAAGTTCCAACACTAATATGCCAGCTCTGCAAATGCATTCATGTGCCCTGGAGCTTGCAATTACACTGTCAATCTCCACTTCTGGAGACTACGGCATGCACAGTCTCTCCTGATTTGGCTAAACCCTTAGGTGCTGACACAGCTCCTGGGAAGTGGCTGCCTGCCTCTTCCATCTTATTTGGTTTCACTCCTCGGATCATGGCAGTCCCTGTAGAATACACTTCCTAGCATTTAAAGTCTAACTTTATTCCCATGTTACCTCTCGACTGAGTCTCTGTGCCCATAAAAAGAATTAAAATCCACCATCATTTAACTCAGATTCACATCCTTCATACTACTCTTCCTAGTCAAGATTTACTCAGATGATTGAGCTATAATCTAAATTATTGCGGTTCTGCATAGAAAAATTAATGGGTTTTGCATAGAAAAAAATACATCATGACTTTTCCAACAACCCAATAGAAAATCTGAAAATGCTCAAATTCATTAAAATGTAATGCCCCTGCCCATGTCTTCAGCATACCATGGACAGTCACTTCAAATTCCTTCTTGTCGTCACCAGCAGTGTTTGTTGCCACGCACCGATAAAGGCCTGTGTCTGACACTTGAGCCTGAGCAATAACCAGTTTGCGCCCATTTAGCAAAATCTTAAATCCATCCTTTTCATCAATCAGCTGGCCATCCTTCATCCACCTATAGAGAAGGGTGAGGAGAAGTAGAATTATGTATTATAGTAAGTACTATCCCAGGAGATACGCATATGCACACATTTATTCTCCATTTTACATATGCCTAACTTCCTAATTATTTGTTTGTTTACTTATTTGGAGAGATTTTTGCCATAGGGTGTGTGTACTCACTAAAGAGACAGAGAAAGACAGAGAGGCAGAAAGTGAGAAATCACCCCCTCAGGGGATGGCCACACTGCAATCCCTTCTTCTCCATTCTTCTTCTGGGATCATGGACATGCACACACACACACACCCAACATATGTTTAACACCACCAGGCCCAAGACTTGAACCACAGTCAACCATGTGGGAGTCCAGCAATGCAACCACTATGCCATCTGCTGGCCCCTCCTAATTGTTTAATCCGTAAAATAAATTGTAAATAGAGAACAGAAGAAAAAAAGAAACCCTGCCTTAAACAGAGATTGGCATTTTGCTCAAACTCAATAACTGCTGAGTTCTTCATTCTTCTACTAATTTTATGCTGTAAAAAAAAAGGCAAAACTCCCTAAATATTACCTATTTTAACACTTCAATAACAATAACCTGCAAAGTGCACACAATTTTAAAACATCTGTAAATAAAATCTTGAAATCACATATTTTTGCATTTCTTATGAGTTATCACCTTTCATTTGAATTTTTAAAGACTATTTATTCCTTTTGAAAGAGGGACAGAAGGAGAGTCAGAGGGGGGTATGCCCAACAGGACTGTCATGCTACAGTACACCCCTAGCCTCAGTTAGCTAGAATCATGGTCATGCCTTATGTGTACAGAGAGAGCTGAGGATATGAACACAGGGCCCTTCCATGTGGCCTCAGTAGCACAGAACATTGAATATTGCTGCAGTGCCATGGCTGGCCATCCATTTAGTTTTATAATCATGTGTGAACATTTCTTATCCCTTCAGTTGACTGTTCCTTTTTGTATCCCACAGCATCTTGGCAATGAAAGATAACTATTCAAAAAAAATGTGAATGAAGGAATGAGAAAAACACACATACATGCTAACTTCTTCTGCTTCTCTAATATGTCTCAAAGTACACCTCTTTTTATTTAGTAGTTTGTTAACCACTTCAGTGCCTCAAGATGTTCTGACACTAATGCTGCTTAATGTCTCTACACACTGAAAGTATAACTTCTAAGATCATACAGTGGACTTCCTTTAATGGAGCAAATTTAGAAACCCTGTAAGTATCAAGTAAAAGTTGCCTGGTACAAGCCTGTCTTTTAAAAGATAAATATAAAGAATATATCTTTATATAACCACTCTTTAATGACACAGAACAGCTTTCAAGGCAGCTCTAACACAGTCCTTCGAAGACATACCAAAACCCTTACATGATAGTGGGTGTGGGGGACCCTGTCACTTGACAATCCAGCTCCAGTAAGTTATTGACCATCACAATGAAGTAAGATGTTTCGTCTCCTCCTTCTACAGCTGGTGGCACTAGGAGACAAGAAGAGTGTATTATGAAGAAAAAAAAAACCATATATATATATGAGAAAAAACATCAAGTAATAGTAAGTACCAGTTGAGAAAGTTGATTAAATATCATAATAATTTAGTATATGAAAGGCATTTTAAATGTACTATACATATACTTGATAATAAAATTTTTATGATAAAATAAAAATGTTCATAAGTTTATTTTTGACATAGTGTGAATTTTTCTCTATCTAGCACTGATGTCATGTGAGTAGAAGTCAATTCTTATGTTACATGAGAAAGGAACCCCCTCAGCCTGGGCCATCTGTTTAAAAGCCTTCAATTTATAGATAAAGACAAAGAGACTCAAGGTTGTGTGATGACTTCCTGAGGCCAAGTAACTGTTCTCTGTTGTCTAGCACAGTCCATGACAGAAGACCGTGTCATTGTTCATTACAGATACTGTCGCCGATGGAAGAATATATGCATGCACTTACAAATACATATCAGAATTTGTGGAAGAGTTATGTGAGATTGCAGACCTTGGGATTCTGCTGATAAATTCACCTCTTGATGAAGTGTAGTCCAGAGTCGAACAGATAGCTATGCCTCCTCTTGGTAGAGATCATTTTATTACTGCATGAACTGAAAGGGATTTAATAAACCAACTGGGTCTTACTATGAATCTGAGAACCAGGTGGTGTCATCCTTACTTACCTAAGACGTCAACTTCATATCTGATCTCCTTTTCTCCTGCCACACTGGTAGCCACACATGCATACTGTCCCCGATCGACTTCTTGGGCACTCATGATCTCCAGTTTCTTCCCACCAGCTTCTATTCGGATGTTGCCATTGGCTTTCACAGGAACCCCGTCCTTTAACCAGGTGAGAACCGGAGGGGGGTTGCCGGCAGCTTTACACTCCAGTGTCAATGAATGAGCCACTACTACTTGCTTATTTGAAGGTGTGGCCAAGTCACCTTCAATCACTGGAGGAACTGGGTAAAAACAAAACAAACAAAAAAATAAAACAACAAAATAAAACACAAGTATTTCAGAGAAGTCTGTATGTAGTCACAAAATACAACCTAACAAAATAAAAGGGGAAAATTTTTTTCCACTCATGGAGTTTATCCATAGAAACCACCTACATGCCTGTTTCCCTCTAAACTATTAAGGAAAGAATGTTAAGGTTCAGCTGATCATCAACTATTCTCTTTATTCTGTAATACCCTGTTTTGTCTGGCTTATGAAGGACAAATAATGTAGCATACTAGTCCTAATGACTACTTGACTACTTTACCTTCTTCATAAGAACCAAATGATCAATAGATACCGGAGTGTAAGGGAGGGGAGTGGGAGGTAGAGAGTGGGTGGGAAGGTAAAGGGAAAAAAACATTTAACAAACAAAAGAGTGTGAAGTACTCTGTTAAACAAAAGTAATTTTTACGTTATAAAACCAAAAAAAAAAAGAACCAAATGGTCTAAAGCCAGTGCTATGATCTAGTGGTTAAGAGAGCCAGATTCCACATGGCTGACTGTGGTTTGAATCCTGGCCCCAGCAGCCTATGAAACACATTGGCCTCTGTTGCGTGTATGTCCCAAACTCCAACAGGGTAGAGAAATGGAGAAGAAAGGATTGAGGTGTGACCATGCCCCATAGAAGGGTGAGGGTGCTTTTATGCTTTCTCCATTTCTCCCTCTCTCTGGTGAGTGCACGTGCCCTTGGGCAAAACACAAAAAAGTCTAGCTGCTCTGAGTACCACACACCAAGGTTGGTCAACAGAAAGGACTGCTTCTTGTTCATCTTCACTTCTGTAAATATTCTTCCAATTCCTATCCATAGATATTGAAAAAGACCAAACCCTTATGTACAGTAGGGGCAAAACAGAAGGAGAGTATGGGAGGAGAAGAGCACAGGAAAGATAATTTGGGGGAAAAAATGGAGAGGTAAGATATTTGTGGGACACCGATATGGTTTATTACCTATTGATGAGGATGTGTATAGTATTCTCAACTGGACTGAGGTATTATCATGCTGGGTAAAGTCTGTTTACAATCCAAATGATGTATAGCAATTGAATATATAAATAATAATAATAATGGGAAAAAAAGATAAAAAAAAAAAAAAGGAAAAGACCAAACCCACCAAAACTTAGTATTGAACGAACTGGATATTGGCATGTTAGAATGCTTAAGGTGAAAGGAGTATGATTGGGGGACCAGCAGTTAGCATAATGGCTATGTTGCTGGACTCCCACGTAGTCAACTGCGATTCGTGTCCCAGACCCAGTGGCTTAAAACTCACGCCGGGCGCGTGTGCGTGCATGCCCAAGATCCTGAGAGGAGAATGGAGGAGAAGGGATTGCGGCGTGGCCCCCCAGGGGGTTTTCTCGCTTTCTGTCTCTCTATCTGTCTCTGTCTGTCTGGTGAGCCCACACGCCCGATAGCAAAAATCTCTTCAAAAGAAAAAAAAAAAAGGAGTATGATTAAACCTTATCTTTTTCCGTACCATACACGTCCACGAGGAATGATTTTTCAGCAGTTCCAGCAACATTGGTTACATGGCATGTATATGATGCGGAGTCAGAGACTTGCGCACGAGGAATGTGGAGAAATTGCCCTTTGTCAATATAAAGGGCTTGCGAGCTGGAAATGACTGGCTGGCCGTCTTTATACCAAGTAATAACAGGCACTGGCAGTCCCCGTGTTTCACATTCCAGTTTGACTATGCCGTTGATCAACGCTGAAATCTCTGTGGTGACATTTCCTCCTTTAATGCTGGGTGGAACTAGGAGGAATTCCAGAACAAAAACAAGTCTATAAGCTTCAATATCTGCACCAAAATCTAAAATACTACAGATGTTTAAATGGTGCATTTAAAGTTAATATAAATTACAATTAGGAAGCCTGCGATATATCTACTTACAATTAGTTGTCTGTCTTGTCAAAGCCATCTTTATCATCCCTTTTTTGGGTTTCAGATTTCAGTAAAAACAGAAAGTCACAGATTCAAAGTCAAGGGCTCATTTAGGGCTAATAGGCGATATTAGAATAACTAAGAAAGTTATGGCTATTAAACAAAACAAAGCAAAAGAATGCCCCAATTCAAGAAGATCCAGTAAGTTTGAAATCCCCCAAAGGAGCAAGCATGTCAGATGCACAGCTACAACTGCATGCCTTCTTCCCAAGAATGCAAAAGGGCTCCCGCTTTCAGAACCAGCTACTGGTAATAGCTACGGAATCTTTCATTTTTGTTTCTTGCTATTTTGTTTTCTTTTTTGCTTATTTGTGCTTTGGGGACTGCCAAGAAGAGTCCATTCACTCAACTTTACTCATTTAATTGGCCGCACGTATATCTTCCCCAACTGGGCAACCACATGCCTGGCCTCACACCACATGAGGCCGGTGCTGTTGGAAAAACAACGGAAAGGCTCCGCCTGGGCTACAGGATCTGAACCGGCTCATTCCAAGCATTGTGCTTACAGCAATTTGAAAGAAGTCAAATGGCATGTATCCAAATTAGAGAGTTCTCATGACATTTGAATGAGTTTTTAAATTTCAGAATAGGATTTTTGTAAAATGTTTTTCAAGTGATTTGACTAAGGCTGTGGTTTTGAAAGAGAGACAATTCTCACGTCCTATCAAGGCTGCATGGTATCAACATGACTTATCACTGAGGAGGTCAGCCCTGACCACCTGGCTGGGTTTCTCCACTACGAAGTTGCTCTTTCTCCCTCTTTTTTTTTTTGAAGGGAGTCACTGTTCCCAGCCCGTGCATATGAGGTGGGGACTTAGGTCCTACTTGAGAAGGAAAACCTACTTAAGCTATTTGAAATTCTTCTCCCCTATGGATTCTTATCCCCAATTTATTTATTTATTTAGTCTTTTATTTTTATCACTAGGGGCATTTTATACTTGGAGTTATAATTAAATAGTACATAATTTATCCAGTTTTGGTCATTTGGAGCCCGTTCAGTTGGCTCTTACTCCCTTTGATATACTCACATTATTTTATTATTTCCTTATTTTCTGGCCCTACAACATGTCCCAAGCTTGTTTGCATATTCTTTGCCTCAGCTCTAGAATTAAAACAAGGTCTGGGTGCCAAGTCAAGTGTCCTAATATTTTTTGGTAATCATTCTTAGAACTAGTTCAGAGTGAGAAACATCCATACACATTTTTTAACACATATAATTTACAACAAAATCGACTGAACTTTGAGTTGAACTTGATGGTAGAATGATTTTCATGTAAGGTAACTGTCTATATAAATCAGAAATCAGCTTACTATGACCCACAAGCTAGATTTTGAGCTAAGAATTGCATTTACATTTTTTAATAGTTAAAAAACAATCAAAAAAATAGTTTGCCATTGCTTTAGATGATAGAAATACTAAATTTCAGCTCCAATTAAATGAAATGTTATCCCCTCAAGTAATTACACTATTCTTATTAGTAAATCTGCACTACCAAAAACTTATGGTTTAAAAACTTACCAAATGGATAATATTTCATCAATAAGCAATTTTGTAGAAATCGTTTTTGTTACATTATGTAAGTATCTCCATACACCCTCAATTTTGTTTTGTGGTATTCAAAGTCTAAAATATTATTCCACTCATTATAAAAAAGGTCTGTCAAATTCTACTGTAGATTATTACTTATCAAATTCAAGCCATCATTTTGAAATCCTAAGAGGGAACATTTTATTCAGGCTTTAAACTTTAATTTTGATCCGAGACTATGTTATATGTTAAAATAAATATAAATACATGTCAAAATTCTGGCTCAAATCACCTAAATTAGCTGGCTATCCTAATTAGTTAAAAGACACATCACGGAAGCCAAGAATATATATTCACCAAGTCCTCACCCACTATGTTTCACAAATGAGTATCGTTTGTACAGAAAAGGGTCTTTTTAAAAGTCTGTATTCATGAATTGAGAAAAATTATTCAAAGAACACTTGAGAACACTTGTAGTTGATGGAAGAACATACTATTCACTGTCTAAATTCGGCAAATACATCATTATTTCGCTTCCTGTTTTACTGTAATTCTTACATATTTGCCCGAGAACTATATTTCTATTTGGCAGAGGGGGTTACATAGAAAGGAAAAATTAGACTGCACATTAAAATACTCTCATGAATGTACATTCAAAGATTTTTTACACTACTTAGGGAAGCTTCAGACCTCTGAAACGCATGCACAGATCACAGGTTAAAAACTTATGTCTCAGAATTACTAGTTGTGGGGGGTCAGAAGGTGGCATAGTGGTTAAGGGCACTAGAATCCCACCTAGCCAACCACGGTTTGAGTCTTGGACCTGGTCGCTTTCTCTCTCTTTCTTTCTCTTTCTCTCTCTCTCTCTCTCTTTCTCTCTCTCTCTCTTTCTCTCTCTCTCTCTTTTTCACACTCTGTCCCTCTCTAGTCAAATTAAAATAAATAAATAAATAGTTAACTATAATAATAGTTCTTTTCTTTTAAAAGAATTACTACTTGTGAATGTATATGATCTCCCCAAAGAATAGTAACATCCTTTTACTTTTTTACTTCTTTCACAGCCTTCTTGTTCTTTCACTCCATCCCTTTTACCTTTCCCACTTATTTATCTCCATTTCTATTCTTATTCAAGTATAATATTCATCTCTCTCTTGTAGATACTTCAGCCCACCTTCTTTACCTTCATGTCAGTGCACAGCTAAGGAAAATGAATAAGTGATGCTCTCAGTCTGAAATCCACTTACATATTATCTATGGCTTCCTTACAGCCAGCCAAAGCACAACATTTATTTCATTTTACATATTTTAAGAATAAAAGCATTTTCAAAATTCATGTTTGTTGATGCTGGCAATCCTCCTAGAGAGGAAATGGCATTCTTTCCTGAAGTATAATAACTCAAAACTTATTATAGTGTCTTTTATTTCAATATAAAACTATCAACTAGATATCTAGGTTATTTTTTTCATTGTAAGTCTTTGATATCTGACATGCATTTTTTAAAAAAGAATTATTTTATTTAAATGTATTTATTTATTTATTTATTTAAATTTGACCAGAGAAGTACAGAGTGAGTGAATGAGTGTGAGAGAGAGAGAGAGAAGGAAAATGGGAAAGGAAGTTGCCAGGTCTGGAACTCAGACCGTGGTCACTCATGTGGGAGTCCAGTGCCTTTAGCCACCACTCCACCTGCTGGCCCCTCTGATGTATATTTTATACTCTTAGCACTTCTCAATTTGTACAAAACACATTTCAAGTGCTCAACAGCCCCACTTGGCTCATGGTTCCCAAACTGGACAGAGCAGCACTAAACTAGCCAACATTTCCTGAGAGCCGCTGTGTGCCAGACATTGCACTAAGAAGCACACAAAGCAAAGGTATGCTCTTAGGATATTTGGATTGCTCAGAGAGAAACAGTTCATAAATAAATAAATCCATAATTAAGCAAATAGGATATGAGGCAGCAATACGTGCCATGAAGAATGTGAACTACAACAATGTAAGAGAGAGAGCAGCGGCTGCTTTTACTGGGGAGGTCTTGCGAGGAAGTGACATTCAGAAACACCTGAACTGTCCGTGAGTGCCATGCACTATGAGTGACAGAAGGTACAGTGGTTGAGCAGAGCCATGCTTTTTGTTGCTGCTATTGTTTTTGCTTTTGTTTTGTGTCTTTAGTTTTTCTGTATGGCACTTGCACTAGCTGGCCCCAAGGTCTATTCCTTTCTATGCATAAGTCTTTGTGCTTGTGATGTAATGTTCCTGTGCCCACATATGGCTCTAGTTATAAAAAATATGATGGCTTTGGCAATCACCTTCCTTGGAGGATGTTGATAATTTTAGCAAAAATGAGGGCAACATATCTCTGGTGGGGAAGAAACAATGGTCATTAAAATGCTATCAGCTGGTCACAATCACATGCCAAGATGAATAGGAAACTGAACAATTAAATTGTTTGCCTACTATTGACTTCTAGTTCATACCACTATACAATTTTTAAAGTTCTTTGAAAAGTATTTCTCCTTAGCATTTGATTTGTGCATGTATATACTAACTACTTAGGAAACTCTTAATCACTTAAGTGAGATCATACAAAACTCACTAGATCACTAGAAGAAATCTACGCTTAATGATAAAGGTATAATGGTAAAATATACTAAAATGGGATGTCATGGTCTAGCCTAACACATGAAAACAGGCTCCTTCTTCTCTTGAAGGAAGCACCATTCCCAATTACTCAGCACGGAATGAAAGCAATTAAGAGTCAGAGTTGACCTTGCAGCTCAGTTCATATCGAGAGCTGATGATGACAAAAAGCAAAAGGAAATCACACTTACCATAGATAGTCAGTTTTATGTCCTTGGCTTGTTTGCCAGCGGCATTAGACACAACACACTGGTAGCGTCCCTTGTCACTTCTTCGTGCATTCTTTAGATGTAAAATTTGTCCTCTATCTAGCAGCTCAATATTAGGGTCTCCCAAAAATAAAGGCCTAGAAAAAATAAAATTTCATTCCAAGGGTCCATTTTTGCCTCCCATGTTTCCTCTTTCAGTACACACAACAAAAATTATGAAGTAGTAGAAGATTAAAAATACAAATCAAATTTGATGCAAAAATACAATAATGTGATCAGTATTCCTATTTAGAAGAATGAAACTATTAAAACATTTTACTAATGAAAGTTAGATAATTACCATTTTCAGAAGAAAAGTTTCTGCATTTTAAACAGAAAATTTTTAATAACAGAAACCCAATAGTGTTAAAATTTGATTCATATTTTTCATCCATTCTTATTCATCTTATTTTATTTTGGTTTACATACTCAAAATTTCTACCATCATCTGGAAAAGAAAGACTAAGAGTTTCGACCCTGAGATAGAAAAGATTGAAGGAGCAACAGGCAGGCCCAAGTTACTGGTTTGAACTCATCAGGGACCCCAAATACAACCCTACTAAAAGACTTAAAAATGCAGATTCAGGGAACCAGCAGTTAGCGTAATGGCTATGTCGCTGGACTCCCACGTAGTCGACCGCGGTTCGTGTCCCGGACCCGGTGGCTTAAAACTCACACCGGGCGCGTGTGCGTGCGTGCCCAAGATCCCGAGAGGAGAATGGAGGAGAAGGGATTGCGGCGTGACCATCCCCCCTGGGGGGTGATTTCTCGCTTTCTGTCTCTATGTCTCTCTCTGTCTGTCGGGCGAGCGCACGCGCCCTACAGTGAAAAATCTCTCCAAAAAAAAAAAAAAATGCAGATTCAATCACTCAACACATGGGTAGACTTAAGTAAAAATTCACCAATTATTTGATGGACAGTTGAGTCCATATGCTTTAATTTACACACACATATATATATGTATATATGTATATATATATATACATATATACATATATATATAAATTGAAATTCATATAAATATATACACATATATAAAGTATATATGTGTATACATAAATAAAATTGAAATTTACATATACACATATGTATATATAAATAAATTTATATTCAATTTATGTATATAAATAAATTTGTATTCAATTTATATATACATATAAAAGAAACATTACTCATTATGTAAAACTAGATAATAGGGAAAAAAAACAAAGAGTTGTAAGTAGCCTAGTCTTTCTTCAGAATGAATTTAACGAAGCCTTAAACCAAGAACACTGTAAAGTCTATAAAGCATCAAATCACTGACCTTACCATGTCTTTTTTTTAAAAAGATTTATTTATTTATTTGTTTGTTCATTTATTCTTTCATTATAGTTTGATCAGAGAGAGACACAGAGAGAGAGAGGAAAGTGAGAAAGCAAGCCACCAGGTCCAGGACTTGAACCGTGGTCAGCCACGTGGGAGTGTCCAGCGTCTTAACCACCGTGCTGCCTGCTGGTCCTACCATGTCTTCATTTCTAAACATCTCTCTCCAACTCTTTTTTTTTTTTTTTTTTTGCTTTCTTAGGAACTCGTTTCTTTATCCACAGTAGAGTACTATGGTCTTATAAAATCTCACAGTGAGTGAATCAAAATTTTCCTTTCCTGTCTCTTCTGATAAACTATAGTTTTGCCTATGACTGAACCAACAATACCACAGATCTTTTCAGATTATAAACTCCTATCTCCCATAGTCCTCTTCATGGAAACTACAAATTATTTTTTCATTGGCTATGTTAAGATTATCTTTGTTTTTGTAAAAAAAAAATCCATCCTCATTAATTTGGGACATTTTATTGTCTTGATTTTTCCTCAGTTTGTTTTTCTTTATAACTGTATTTCACAGTAAGGAAATGTTACAGACAATTCAGTCCATAGATCCAGAATAACCACTGGAGTGGGTTCTGAATGTTCACAACATAATATAATGTTAAATGTTGCTGGTATTGAATATGTTAATCCTTGATTTATTTATTATACACTGTATACATGCTTTGAAAGACCATTCTGTACCCTACAAAGATGTGTAGCGATTATATGTTAATCATAAATTGTAATGAAAATTTTTAAAAAGCTAAGAGTTTAATATTACAATGGGAACTTCAGACCATGCGATATTATTTTAAACCAATGTCATAATAATAGCTGGCAAACTATTGACAATAGAATGAATGATTATTATTTACTGAAAGCAATAAGCATATGAACTTCTATAAATATTGCAATAAACATGAATGTTTTATAATCATAACTATTAAAAGATATTTATACTAAAAAAGTTCATATATAGCAGTCTAGGAAGTCTTTTTCTATTATACAGAGTTATTTACAAACTAGTATAAAATGCTCCCTTTATGTTACTTGCAGCAGCTTTATTTTAATACATCTCAATTATTCAATTCTATGATAGCCTAAGAATCATACCTTTAGAAATCATTAATCTTCTTTCTAGAAGACCCATTGCTAGTCTTCAGAAAGTTGCAGGTGACTCAGCCATGCAGTGAATAATTAGCTGTACTGCTGTGCTAATGAAGCACTAGTCAGACCACACAATTGGGTGGAAAACATTTCATCTTTCATTGTAGTGTCCTTTGCCATCTCTTGGTATGACACTTGATAAAAAGCTCTCAAAACTTAAGAGAATGAAGTACCTCGGCTTAATGCATTTTAAGTAGTAAAGGAATACTTAATGTCATTCTAATGTACATTACTTTGAAGCTTTTCTTGATTTTTTTTTATGTAAGAAAATTTAAACAAAAAATGTAAAGATGACACTGAGAAAAACTGTCCTTGGTTTATTACCCCTAATGTGAATCTTTTCTCTAGCTGTCTCACATAATTGGCTTGATTTATATTCTTCTGCAAGTTTTTTTTAAACACTTTCACTCATACATGAACTCCCAAAGAAATCTCAAGTTTTAGTACATGTTATTATTCTGCCTTTCTTTTCACTCTACAGTAACTATGGAGGCAATTTTGGTCCAAAGAGCTTGATCACATTTTACTGCGGTGCCGCCGTCTGGCCCCTGTAAATCTTGAAGCTTTGTTACTGAGGCCTTAGATCCTGCTCTCAGAAACCACAATAATACAGTAGCTGTGACCACACTGTGAGAAATGATCTCCCCCACACAATACCAATCACTGCAACTGTTCGAGTGGGAAAACCTCAATTGCCCTTGAGACTTGCAGTCTGGGAATTCTGGTTGTCTCTCTTTGGTTCCTGGTTGACCACTTACAGAACAAGATAAAACATTCAGGGGTGGGCAGGTGGCGTGGTGGTGAAGGGTGCTGGACTCCCACATAGCCAACATGGTTTGAGTTGCAGACATGCTGGCTAGCTTTCTCCCCCCACCCCACCTCTGTCCTACTCTGGTCAAATTAAAATAAATGAATAAATAAATTAAATTAAATTAAATAATTTTTTAAAAACAGAACTAGCTTAAGCATTCATATTGCTGAACATTTTTCTTTTTAATTTCATGTAAAGACAAAAATCTCTGCATTTGGATCTTGCATTTTTCACTGTTAGTCTTTGGAGAGAGGATATTTAGTGTATAATAAATTTAATTCCTCTATGTTTCTAATACATTTCCATTATTTAAGAAATGTTTTGTAATCCATGAGAATGAAAGACAATAGAAGACTTCATAACTGTTTCTGTGGACAATATATTGTTTTCCTTTATGCTCATTTCATAATACCTGATGGGAGATAAAATAATGAAGGGGGAGAAAGTCCACATATATTTACACATCTATTTCCTGCCAACTGAACATGCACAACAAGGGCAGGAAAGACACTCACTTGCCATCTTTGAACCAGTTAATAATGGGAAAGGGGGCGCCTCTGGCTTGGCACTCAAGGCTGATGTCATGGCCGAGGACAACTGAGACGTCAGATGGGGAGCTGGCACCTATGATGGTGGGTGGAACTTGAACAAAGACATTTTATCATGAAAACCGATGACTTAGCAAAAAGACTTGGAAAAAGGCAACAAATAGGCTATGATTTCTATATTAATTTACAAGGTTATAACGTTAAAAATGAAATATTACATGGTAATCACTTTTCATATTGCATCCATGTGCCCACATGTTAAATTTAAACATGAAACACTTTGATGAAATATATGTCAGCAGGACCATTGCTCTCAAGAATGATGATAATATTGGATTCATTTTGAGGCATAGTAAATTCATTTACAAAAGGGAATAGAATATATGTGAGCAGTAAAGAACATATAGTGTAATTTACTATTGCTATAAATTTTAAATAATAATGATATAACATCGATCCTACAATGTTCAAAAGTTATACGTCATTCTGTCAAGTTGCTTGAAATACATTACCTTTGTCTCTTTTAAATGACTCCTATGCTATAATTGGTATGAAATATAACATGGAAAAGAATAAAGTATACTTGGTTTGTTTTTTTTTATTAATTTCTTCTATGAGCATGAGAGAGAGCATCCCTAAAAGAGATTACACACCATGGTCTACCCCCAGACTCAGCCATGTCTTTATCAAGGGCCCACATGTGAGTGTGTACCCAGAAAGGTGTCCAAACATGAACCCAGAACCTACCATGTGGGTTAGTCTCACAAAGTGTCATGCTTCACTGCTGCACCACCATCTGGTGCTCTGCTGGGTTTTATGCTCGGAACTGTCTAGCACGTTACAGAGCTTGGAGGCATTCCCCTGATCCTACTCTAACACTCCCCTCACACCATCATAAGGTGTTTGGTGTTCATTATCAGAAGAATGACCTGTCACTAGAGGATTTCGGCAGGGGGGAGAGTGTGGTGTGATCAGATTTGTGCTGGCTGCTGAGTGAAGAATGGACAAGACTGGCACAGAGGGGTACAGGGCAGCAGGTGGGGGCTATTACTTTGTTTAGCTTGTAAATGATGGTATACTTTGGTGGCGAAATAGAGAGAGGCAAAAAATTTAACATGGAATTAGGAAATAGACATAACAGGATATAAATAGATTTGAAGAGTTGGAAAGAGGGAGTTGGGAAGAATGAGTTCCAGTTTGGGAAGAAGCAAGAGGAAGAATGGAAGTGCTGTTCACTGTGGTGGAGACTGAAGGAAACCAGAACAGACATTGGTTCAGATTTTTCTGTGGGATTTATGACTGTGGTGTGGGAGAACGCTAGATATTTCTTCCTAGAGCTCGGAGACGTCCAACTCTGAGTTAAGATACACGTTTGGGAGTCATCAGCAAATAAATGGAGTTGAAAGTCAAAGGAATATCTAGAGAAATAATGCCAATGAGACTAATAATATGAAAGATTATTGCCTTTGTTTCTCCTGTCTGTATTTAAATTTTTTTAAAAAAATTTTATTTTGTAATTTCTTTTTTACATTTTAGTTGTTGTACATCTTTATGACATACAATAAGGCTTTTCAAAGCATACACGCAGTCTGTGATAATCAAATTGAAATATTACCATATACATTGTTTTCAACTAAGAACCTTACATGCCCCCCCCTTTTAATTTTAGAGAGATTTTTGCTATAGGGCACATGCACTCACCAGAAAGACAGAGACAGAGAGACAGAAAGTGAGAAATCACCCCTCAGTGGGGATGGCCATGCTGCAATCCTTTCTCTTCCATTCTCCTCTTGGGATTTTGGGCACACATGCACACATGCCTGGCATGAGTTTAAGCCACAGGGTTCAGGACTCGAACCACAGTCGACTCCATGGGAGTCCAGCGACATAGCCATTATGCCAACTGCTGGTCCCTGTATTTAAATCTAATAATGGTAATTTTGGGGAGTGGAAATGCAAAGTACTTTGGGCTTTGAGAAAACTAATGTGAGGGGTTACTCTTATAGCAGTTTTTGTATGATAATTTTAATACAGGATCATTTTGGGACTTCACTACCACTCTAGACTTACGTACTATATGCCTATTTTACCTGTTAGTGAAATATTGAAAGTGAGAAATTCTATCACAAAGTGTGTTTTATATGGCAAATGGAATTTCACACATTAAAATTATAAAACATTAATTGCCATTAAAATGTTTACCTTTTCAACTAAGAACCTTACATTCCCCCCCCTTTTTTTTTAGAGAGGATTTTGCTATAGGGCGCGTGTGCTCACCAGAAAGATAGTGAGAGACAGAGAGACAAAAAGTGAGAAATCACTCCCCCGGGGGGATGGCCACACCGCAATCCCTTCTCTCCTAAGGTAGGGGAAGTGAATTTGCTACCTTCTCCAGTTCAAGTGCCTAACAGTTTGAGGAGAGCCACAGCATGAATGAATTCGAGTCTACATGGTCCTGTATAGAACTTCCTAGAAGATTTTCTGCCCACCTATCTGAAGAAATGAACAAGGGTAATAATCTCCTATTTTACACAAGAGAATATCACTTTTGAGTATCCGATACTTTGCAGTATGTGCTCAGACATTTCTCTATTATAAATAATAAAAGCCTTCAAACTTCCTATATTACATGGTGCTGGTTAACCAATATTCGAGAAATAATAATAGAGTGTGAATAATAATTTTCTATTAATAATTTTTTATCTTTTTTACTTTTCATACAGGTTCTATACTACGTAGGAAATGTATTTGAATTGTAGGGTTTTTTTGTTGTTGTTCCAAAGGATTTTTTCTTACCTTGCACATCAATAATAAAGTACTTCTGAGAAATGCCTGCAATATTAATCGCTTTGCAGGAATATTTTCCTGCATCCTCCGGGGTGACTTTGAAGAGCTTCAGTATTTTCCCGCTGTTCACGATCTGAAGAGTGCTACTTTCAGTCACCTGTAAAGGCCCGAATGGCCAGTGTTATTTCCAATTCTAATAAAAATGCGTAATTAAAATGGAAATAAAGCTTTCATATTATTACTAATAAAAAATTTTGAAATATGAGCAACTGATTTCAGACACAGAGGCAAGGAATCACACAAACTTGGATGTTTCCATGTACCTGGACATCATCTTTATACCACGTAATGATGGGAGATGGAGTACCTTCCACGTCGCAAACCAAACTGGTCAGCTGATTGACCAACACTGACACATTTGCTACTTGTTCTTTATCTTTAATTACTGGAGGAACTGAGAGAAAAAATAAAAGAAATTATGGCAAGATTGTTTTATAATAGATATTTATAAAGTTTCTTTATAAAAGAACTTACAAAGCAAATTCTACAGGCTGGCAGATGGCATGGTGATTAAGGTCCTGGACTCCCCACATGGCCGACTGTGGCTTGAGTCCCAGACCTGGCAGTTTGCTTTCTCTTTCTCTCTCTGTCTCCCTCTGGTCAAGCTGAATAATAATAATTATAAATAAAATTAAATGGATAATTTAAAAAAAGGAAAGCAAATTCTGAGACAATTGATGGCTAGAAAAGTTAGTCATATTTAAGCATATGCTTTACTATACAATGAAAAAAGCTTAACCTAATAATGTATTTACATCTCTTATTGAATTTTTACTTTATTATTTCAGAGTTCTGAATTTCAAATGAAATTACCAATAAATTTAAGAGAAAACCCATTTATTCTACATAACACTCAAAATACAAACTGTCAGGATCTTAAACGTGGGCCTCATTATTTGGCTAATGAGAGTGAATATTACCCACTATATATGAAAATCAATGTTCATCAAATTTTAAAATATACATACCCTTTGACTCATGCAAAATGACATATGACAGGATTTGTACGGATGCATCACTTATTATAGCAAATAACTGGTAAGCTATCCTTCACTGAGGGAGCTTAAACAAAAACTCGCATAGACATACAGTGAGATAAGTTATGAATATTGAATAATTCTCAATACAGATCTTTTATTGAAATAGAAACATTATAGAGAAATGGAAATATAATGTTCTACTACCAGTGCAGTTTTTACATATAAAAAGAGCATAAAGTATTATATTCATGTTTTCTTATATATGTATAAAACTTCTCTGAGGAGATACACATGTGCGCGCGTGTGCGCATGAGCACACACACACACCTATTAACTTTCCTTGTCTCTAAAGAAGATAAGCAGATAGCTCATGCAGGGCCAGAAGGTGTTTTTTACTACGTGTGGTTTACTACCACTTGAATTTTTTTTTTTTTTGAAAGGTTTTTCCTATAGGGTGCATGCACTCACCAGAAAGACAAGAGAGACAGAGATATAGAAAGCGAGAAATCACTCGCCAGGGGGGATGGCCATGCCGCAATTCCTTCTCCTCCGTTCTCCTCTTGGGATCTTGGACACGCATGCACACGCGCCCGGCATGAGTTTAAGTCACCGGGTCTGGGACTTGAACCACGGTCGACTACATGGGAGTCCAGCAACACAGCCATTATGCTAACTGCTGTTCCCACTATCACTCGAATTTAAAATGATATAAGGTCATAATAAAAAATAACATGCGATTTGAAATTAAGAAATAGATTCAACCAGACCACTAGTTTTATATTTGATAACCCCTATTAATATCAATATTCACGAATACCACACTGAGAATATAATTAAAATATTTAAGAATTTGAAAATGTCACACATTCCATTATATGTTTTTAGTATCTTTTTCTGTATTTACCATGGACTTTGAGGTTGTATTTTCTTTCGGTGGTTCCAGCTTCATTGATGGCCACACAGATGTACTCCCCATTGTCATACGGTGTAACAGAAGCAATGACCAACAAGGAGCCATCCTCCAGGATAGAAACACCAGGCTCTTTGCCTGTCAACTCTCTACCATTGTGTAACCATTTGATTGTGGGTATTGGGGTACCTAAAGAAAAAATTAAAGTCTTGTGATATTTAATAACAAAATTCAAAATTTTAAAAAAATATCTAATATAGCAATAAGAAATAAAAATGTTGTTATGATTATAATTTATACTCTCAAGTATTATGCTCCTTTCAAGATATTGTACCTGGTCTGGACATTTGAAGAGATTATGATAGTTAATGTCTCTATTTCCTGACCTTAAGGAACCTATGGTCTCAAGTGTAAAGTTTAATGAAAGTTCTTTTTATCAAAAAGTTCAGTTAATGAGAACTAGTGGAAACAAGCTTGTATTAATTGTCTAGATAAGGGTGAGAGTTTTTGGGTAAAATACAGAAGAGTAAAAATAAAATACTGTCACAAGACTACAACAAGAAAATTGACCAACCACATATTAACTCTATACTAAGAATTCTTTATTTAGCAATATACAAGGCACTATCCTAAGCACTTTTAAAATTTACTTAATTCCTACAAATATAGAAAGGCTCATTAAATAAAATTAGTACAGTTACAAAAGGTATTGTTAATAATCTTAAATAATAATACTTAAAAATTGACAAATAATCAAAGATTAGTCAAGAAGAACAGCAAGAATATATAGAATGTGTCACTGAAGCTAAACCCAAATTGAGTGAAGGACTTAAGAAGTGACCATAAAAGTTAAATTTATGAGATAAAATACAACATCAAAATTGACCAGTTTAACTCCATTCATAGTTAAATGTTGGTAGATGAGGAAGAGAAAATAAACCAACGGACTGCAGTTGTCTATTCATACCGTCAAGGAAAAAAAGGAATTATAATCATATGACATTCTACTCATTCTTTTAAAGACTTCAGCCAGACTTACTTAACATTTGTTGAATTAAATGAAAAAGTAAATGAATGGGGATCAGCAGTTAGCGTAATGGCTATGTCACTGGACTCCAACATAGTCGACTGCAGTTCGAGTCCCGGACCCAGTGGCTTAAAACTCACGCCGGGCACGTGTGCGTGCGTGCCCAAGATCCCGAGAGGAAAATGGAGGAGAAGGGATTGCAGCGTGGCCATCCCCCCGGGGGGTGATTTCTCACTTTCTGTCTCTCTGTCTCTCTCTGTCTGTCTGGCGAGCGCACATGCCCTATAGCAAAAACCTCTTAAAAAAAAAAAAGTAAATGAATGAACAAAAGAAAGAAGTTGCATTATCTTTATTTTACATATTGTACAACCACCATGTTCAGGATGAAATTCATAGCAAAAGAAATGAAAAGGCATCTAGTTACTTCAAATGAATTCAAGAATTATATTCTAGGTGAAAATAAGGAACTTGGAAGAGATGATGTTTCCAAGTGGAAAAGGGAAGTCCAAACAGAGGCCAGTTTGGGAATCATGGATTCATTAGCAAGCAAGGAGCCACAGCGCCACTGGCACATACCTAACCTATGGCCCTTCTAAAGAAGGCTTCCTGTCGTGGCTTTGCTTCCCAAACTCTCATAGGCTCTAGGAATGGTTACTGATGATCCTCTAGATATCTGGAAGGCTTGTTAAAGGTATCTTTACTTTTATGCTGATAGAAAATAGGGTGACCATTGGTGACAGCTACTGCTGAGAGATGCAAAAGTTTGCTGCAGAAACAGCCTTGAGGACCAGGAACATCTGCTAAGAGGCATCGGTGGGAGCACTAACAGTACTGACTGCCTAGAGCTTTTTAGCAGGTTCTGAGGGAATTCTGCTTGCCCATTTCCAGAACTGCTACAAACCCAGTTTGAGTCACTGCAGATGAATGTACATGTGAAAGAGGATGTTCGTAACCAACTCCCTGGCATCCAAAGTAAGGGTGAGAGGAGCAGTATCTCTTGCTTATCCCCAAGGAGAGATAATTGGATGACATGGAGATCCAGAAATTAAGGGAGAGGAAGGACTGGATAAGCATCCAAGATCCCAGTTACAACAGGGCTCTCAAACACCAGTCAAGGGTAAACCTAGAAAAGGGGGGTTATAGAGGAGAAATATCTAGAGCAAATGAGACAGTCCTAGTGTGTACCTCTAGCTGGTTGAGATAATGGAAACATTCGAACTAGCTTTAACTGTCGTGTTTTAAAGAGAAACCTTACTCATCACAGTCCCTTCCAAAAATGAAATAAATCATAGGAAGGACATGAACTTTCTGGAACACGTACTAAATTTGTCAACTCTGAAAGATTAACAAGTCATTCCATTGAAGGAAATAAAATACCTGGGAGGGAAAAATACCTATTGAAAAAGCTGTAATTTGAAAGA